AGATACTTTTCTCAAGTTTCTGGAGTGCCATACAATGGCATACAAGATGGCCTTCCACTTGCCTCAGACTTTAGGAAAAGCAAAGCCCATACGATCACATCCCTTTCTTCAGTACTGACACTACCGGCAGCATACTGACGTGCAACTCCAAGTTCCCCATCTTTACAAGGCAGAAATGAGACTGATTTACAATTGCTTGAGAAACTTAGGCAGACTGTAAGCTACTTCAGGAAGCATCATACCAACAACTTAGAAAGCTGGGAATAAAAAGTGCTACTTACGGAGTTCCCCAACTTGCAGGATCTCACAAAGCATTTTGGTAAGCTCAATGGCACTGCGCCCAAAAGGACATTCATGCTTATCTTCTCGACTACTGTTCTCCAAAACAATCTATGGGAAGAGGATTCAACACACAGCCAGAGTTGCTGAGGTGTTAATATCTGGAAAAAGTAGCAGTTTCACTTACCCTGATATAGGTATCCTGATGAAATTTAGCTAAATAGAGCATGTTGTCCAATGCCAGCATTCCTGGAGGAGTCTGAGTAAAATCCATTGCTGGATTGATGTGATTCTGTGAAAGGGAATAAGCCAAACCAGTCAGTCAAGAAATACCAAAAAGATTTTCTGAATAAAAAATTCCATTTGCCTGTCCCTAAAACCCTCCTTCACATCTATCCAAAGGGTAGACTTGATATGTGCTGACAACCCTACCCAACCTTTCTATAAGATAGGCTGATTCCAAGTTCCTCGCAGAATAGCTGTGCATGGTGCATAAATACCTCCAGAGAATGTGCCTAACTGACCACTAGGATTTAACCAAATAGCGAGTTTACAATAATGTCCTCTGGAGGTTTGAAACTCAGTTACAGAAGTATAGTGAAGCAAACAGCTGCTTCAGTTCCTGTTTTCCCACCATTCTGATGTAGATCCCTTAATTTGCCTTTACATGCTCTAAAGCCAGCACTCTTTCTAGATGCATACAGTGAATCCCAGCATCTTGTAGTCCTTGGTGTACATGGCTTTGCGTTTTTCTGTTCCACTGCCAGGTACAGTGTTGCTATCAGACTCTGCATCAAATGCAATTCTTCTCAGTTCAAATATGATGTCTCGCTGCGCCTGAGGGACAGAAGGCAGGAGAACAGTAACATGAGCAATTGCTAGGGTGGCATTTTCACATAATGCATCTGTCCTCAGAGCTTACACAGTGAGCATAAACAGGTACCAAAGGTCAAGTTAATCTCTATATAAGCAGCAATCTATTTCAAAAAGGCAAGTTTTAATACATTGAACTGTCCCAAGTTTAGCTAAAGGCAATTTACAAGTATTCAGATATTGCTAAATTATTCCTCACTTAACATTAAAATGAATCAAACAGCTGAGTAGCAGACACCTTAGAAAGTGTCCAGCTTCCTTGAACACTGGATCAACAAAAGCACAGGATAAAAGGATTTGCCCTCCATAGAAGTGGAGGAATCTGTTTGATAGTTGATATCACATTAGCTAAATGAGACACACTTTCCACTGGCTACACTTACAGCCATAAAAGCTCTACAGCATACAGCAAGATAGCGATAAGAGCATCTGAATCTCAAGGACTGCAGTGCAAGGGGTAATTCTGAAACTCTATAGCACCATCTACTCCAAATTCTGCGGAGTTAAGCAGCTCAGGAAACAGCCCCCTTCTAACTTTGTTTACATCAGATCTTATTCAGCTTTAACAGTAACCTGATCATTGGGGTCCATCTTGGTCATCATTCTCTCTTCCAGGAGATTAAAGGTCAGAACCTGCAGCACGTACAGCTGATGAGCCATTTCTGTTTTAATCGGACGGTTTCCTCTGATCACATGCTGTAAACATAAAGAATGGGAAAGTGAAGGGAATACAAGCAGACCCTAAGAAGTTAGCTGTAGGCATATGTCAGGCAATATATACAGAGATATACATAAAAATTCTGCTGTTTCAATTCTATATTCCATCATAGGAAGCAGCATGTTGTAGGCATATTTCAGGCAACATATACAGAGATTTATATAAAATTTCTGCTGTTCCAGCTCTATATTCCATCATAGGAAGCAGCATGCTGTTAATGCACTTTTGCACAATATATTTGCAATATTTGAAATATTTGCTCTTCTGGAAGTGCCTTGAGGGCAGCAGGATTTACCCTTTATTCAGGTGAAACTGCTAATAAGAAAACACTAGGAAGCACGCATTTCATACTCACATTCAGGATTATAGATCTCAGGTGCTTCTGGGCAAATGCATTAGCCATTTCCTGTTGGGGATTTAGAAATGAAATCAACATGAGCGAAATATGAGGAAAATACCAACATCATGCAAAAAGGAGAGGAAGAATGAAGCCTATGAACAGGAGATGGCACTGGCACATGGCAAATTGCTTTTACTACAGATGGTCTGTAGCACAGGGGTTTCACAAAAGAACAAGCATCAAGTTGGGATGCAAGGGCCACCTTTACCATGGCATATCTCTTGGATGGTTGTCCTACCAACAGACAGGAGGATAGTTCAAGAAAACAAGAAATCTTGGCCAAGTACTGTAATGATCAAGAGACACAGCAGCAGGGAGCGTTCTGTGCACTGCCCAGAAAGTCTGGCAGTTGCAGCAGAATTTTTGCAAGGAGTATGCCACAGCAGAAAGAGGGACCAGCTTTCTGCACCTGGACATACATCCAAGGTAACATGGACCAGAGGGGCCAGTTCTGCCGAACCTCCTCCAAAACTCTTCCTCTAAAGCTTACACTTCGTCTCAGTTCCTAAAGAGATTTTTTTAAAGTCAGCTGGAGGACAATTTGCAGAAATAATTCAGGTTATTAAAATAAGGAGTAAGTAATTTTCATGATTAAAGGAAAACTTTCAAGAAAGTTTACGATTACTACTTTTAATGAATGGCTTCCTTCCCCAGATGAGGTTTGTTTCCCAGTCATCAAATCATGATGAGAAATAGGTTTAACTGCCTGCTGCAAGCCTTCAGCACTCAGATCAGTTGCATATGCACCTGCAAAATCTAACCTTTCTTTTCCTCATTAAGTCCTGAAGAAGTGCTCTTAAAGAATCAACAATCTGATTACACCTGCTAGTAGAGCAGTACAAAAGCTAATGTCAAGATCAACTATTATCAAAGGTTGCTGGCATAAGTAAAACCACCGAGTAAGGAAAATGCACTGGGTGATGTGTCATCTGGAAGCCCAAAAGAATTGCCAGTTTGAGATCTCTTGATATTCCTATGCTTTGTAGATTGAGAATCAGAACCAGATGTGGAGTCTCAAGATAATGTAACCAATCAGCTGTCCAATCTGAGCAGTCTAAGACTGTTAAAATTGTTCATATCAATCTTTCTCTTAACAAGTTGCATAGGGAGTATGGTCAAATGCATATATTATAGTAATAATATGGACTGAATGTGAAGCTCTTTTTGGTAACACATTACTCAAGGCAGGAACCTCCTAAAATAGAAGAGTGAACTGGCTGATAGCCAAGCCATAGCAGCTTCTAGTTCAAAAGGGCTTATATGTTACATACTATCAAAATGAGTCAGTGCTTGGGTGGAAGGTATCCAAGAAACATCTATATTAAGTAGGAAGCGGTTTCAGAGGTAGTACAGAGCCCTCTGAGTTACTGTTTACTGTTATTCAAGAAAGGTACTACTGTACTAGAATAAGACCTGCTGTTAGAATCTGTTCATGCATGCAACAAACAAAATCCATGCTCTAAGGAATTAGTTTTTACACAGAATGCAGTAACAGGTAATGAAACAGATAAACAGCAGGAAAGACAACAACAATTAAACAACCTTGAATAGCTTAGTAAGAAGCATAACCACAACAGAGCTCAACCTCTGTGTTGTGCCAAAACTGCTGAACAGGATCCTGTGTGTGCAAGTGGCCGAGGGGAATGAAAGATTCCTTGGAATCTGTTTTTTTTTGGATAAAGTTTAGTATTTAAGTTGAATTGAGACAAAGTACTACATTTTTCCTCAATAGAACGTGTTAATCATATTCATTAATAATTTTAGAAATGATGCAATTTAAAACCATAGTTTCCACTATTGCAGGGACTGACCCAATGCAGTATTCTCTGCACTTCCCAAGAAATCTAAGTGCAACAGAATCTGACCCATATGGTTCCAAATCAACCTGTTAACATCACAGGTGATTTCCCTTGGAGGAAAAAATAAAAACAAACCCAAACAAAAAAACCCACATTCTTACAATGGAGTACCCTTGAAATAGAGGTCACAAATCAGGCAGAATACATGCTGCAGCCCCAAGACTACCAGCAGTGAGTTTTGTGACTGTTCTCCAGAAACATCTCTGCCATTTTAAGGGCCCAGCTGCATATGAAGCTAACCTTAAGGTATGTTAGGTTTGTGGTGCAAACTCGCACTTCAGTAAGTTTAAAGTGATCCAGACTCCTATAGATCTGGTTCCAGTTTACTTGATCAGCTTTGTACTTTCCAAAGCTTACAAAGCCTAAGCAATCCTTTTTATGAATCATCCTTAATATGTTTAGTGTGCAAGTTATTCAGATCTCTCATACTACCGAATATTCTCTCCCTTAGCCCCCTCCAAATCGGAGGGCATCAGCAGCAGTCCACCCCACCTTCTCCCTAGGCTCATCCACTGTGTGAAGTCTGTGTGCAGCACCCGTGGGGTGCAAGGAGGATAACTGCAGAGAAGCTATCATGCCTATAGCTATGCATGACCAGCCCCCAGGCCTGGGTTACTTACAGTGATGGGCAGGTCTAGCGGGTTAAGGAACTTGTCCTGCTGGCGGAAAGCAAAAAGGCACAAAGAGAAGCAGACAGGATTTAGCTCAGAGTCCAGGGGAAGAGGGAAAAAAAAAAAGGCACAAAGGGGGGCACTAGAAAAGAAAGGCTTAACACAGCAAAGCTACACAATACAGACATACGCACATCTTGCACGTAGCTGAGATTTCTGGAATTTCCTCAGAGTATGATAGGTGTTTTATTTCTTACATTTGCCAGCAGGGACATCCCCATAAAACTTAAGAAAGGTCATTTTATTCGGTAAGTACATACAATGCCAAGGACACTACCCATAGCCTCCCTCTATCTTGTATTAATCTTTCATATATTTTTCCACCCTCCAACCCCAAAGAATTCTGTGCTGGGTACAGGATTACTTGCTGTCTCCCAGGCCTTTCATATTTCCTCATCTCTTCATCACAGATGTGCTGTTTCTTTATCATTTGGGTGGACTTTTTTCTTCAGTGCTGACATATGGGAACAGCATTTAAGCACTTGGCAAAGTCTGAGATCTGCCCTGCCCAGACAACACAATTTCTGAGACAAAGTAAGCAGCCAGCCAATAACCATTATTGAGATTTAACATTAAGAAGGAAGTACAGACCTGCCTCTTGTCCTCTGGTGCCTTCAAGAAGAGGGCATTGATTAGGGCAATGGCGTATGTCTGAATCTCTTGGTTTGAGCTGCAGAAATAAAAATGCGAGGGAGCTCAGGCATAAGAGCAGAATTGAGATTATTAAGCATTACAGCCTACTTTTTTGCCTGCAAGAACATTTACTATAGCTGTCTTGTGGTTCAATGAACGTGTAGGGTCCAAGTAATCTACCTTGATATCGTTTCACCCTTCAGGACAGATACAAAGAGCTGACAGAGAAACTGTTGTCTGATAACGATGTTATTCAGAAGTGTGTTTTAAATGTAAAAGAATGTATTTTTAAATTGACTGAGTCTAATGAAATTGATTTAGATCACGCCACTCTTGGTGGGTGGACACTCACACTTGTAGATGAGAGATGAGCTGCCCCACGGTGATCTCTTCCGCTATCTTCTGATACAGAGTCTGACTGTTCAACACCATGCTCTCTAGGATGGCTAGGGATCGCTGGAGGATGGAGACATCTACCATAGGCTGACTCACATACCCTGCAATCTAAAATCACAAGAACCAGCAAGTCATTTGACAGCCATCCAGGAAACCTGTGTGTTTCAGCTAAGGGACACATGGCTCAGAAAGCTGAGATGAAGTCTTTAGAGCACACTGTGCTCTGAGTCATATTGCTGTTCCTGAAATCTGCATTAAAGCATAAAATGAAATGGTGCTTCTTGCCTCCCTTTGCCCAAGCTCACCTGTTTGATGAAGGTTATTGAGACCATGTCCCAGGAAACAATGCCATGGTCCATGAGTTCCAAGAAGGCAGTCAAGGTGAATGCCAACATCTCACTGTAACTGATAAAATGAAGAATGCAGTTAAGAGATTTGCACACAGAAAAAGAGAAAAAGCTCATCCAACCTGCAAAAAAAATGGCAAGAAAAGAAATGACACCACCTCCTCCTAATAAAAGACTACAGTTTGGCAGCTGGGAAAGCAATAAAGTATCTCCATTTATGCTTTTATTATTTTGCGGAATCATTTGATCCAGCCACCAGAGGCTGACAACTAAAGGAATAACAACAGAAGCAGCAATACAATATTTATTCCAGAGCAGTTTAGTGCACAGTACCACTATTTAAATTCAACACTTTAATGACATGGAAGGGAAAAAAAAAGTTTTTAAGCTGAATGCCGCTGTATTGAACAATAACAACAACAACAGAAAACCTTGAAAATGAAAAAGCTTTTTAAAACTATCAACTTTAAAAAATGTAGACCACCTGCAAGTGTTGTTTTTTTTTTTGACTTTTTTTTTTTAAAAAAAAAACAGTCCAGAGTAAATTTAACAAAACAAGCAAAAATCTTTGAAAAAGGTAACTCATCCATACATATACACACACACACACACACAAAATAAACAAACATACATGTGTTGTAATATCAGAGAAAATCAAGCAAAAGTACCAATCTGCAGATATAGGGACATGAGTTCAAACAAAACTCCCGAACATATGAACTGTGGAAAATCTAACACAGAACCAGAATTGAGCAAAATCTATAAAATGCAATGAAAACATTTTAGGTGACAATTTTTCAAAATACAAGGCTCATATTAAAACTTTAAAAGGGCTTTCAGTGAAGATAATTATATCAGAAAAGCCAAGTGAATGATGTGCATCACTGTTCACCATAAATACGACTAGAGAAATTTCCAAACCAGAGTTGATTTGTTTCCCTCCCCCCACCTTTAAGGGGGAGAAAAGTTTTCAAATGTGTAATTTTAACACCACTATATTTTAGAATTAATGAAATTAATTAAAATTAAAAATAATTAAAAAGAAAAATAAGTCTCCAGGACCAGATGATTTTTACTCGAGATTTCCAAAGAAACTAAAATACACCATTATTAAACTACTAAAGGCACTGTATAGAAAGTGGCAAATACAATTCAAAATTTTTAAAGAGGACACCAGGGGAACTCTGAAGTAGTACACTTCAGAAATTCTGGCACTCATAAGCAGAAAGATGTGAGAACTAGAATAAAAGAATACTACTACTAAGAGGAAGAAGCAGTGTCTAACAAGGAAGAACTGCCACACACAGTTTTTACAGAGGGAAGTTGTGTGTCACACATATATGGAAGCTCTCTGAACAAATCAAATGGGACAGGATGAGAACAGTTTACATAATAGTACTTTTGGACTTCCAAAAAGATTTTAACAAGGTACTTCACTGATGGCGAAAAACAAATAAACAAACAAAGCCTTCAGCTGTTAAAGGGTAAAAGCAAAAGCCCTTTCTTGGATTAAGAGATAACTAAAAGATAAGAAACAAAACAGTGTAGGTTACAAGGGCAGGTTATAAACTGACAAAAAGTAACAAGTTACCCCACATCTGCACAGTAGTGCTGGAAAGAGCTACTGGGAGAGATGGAAAAAATGATTAGCTCTCTGGAATGGCTCCCATAGAAGAGAGTTTTAAGGGACACAGTTTTACAGACTCTTTAACTTAGCAGAGACACGACTAAGCGCTGATACTGTCATCTGAAAAGCAAATTCGCTGCTCAGTGTTCTATAAACCAATAATCACACACTTAGCGTCATTTGCTCATTTATTTCAGAGCTGTGCAAGTCCAGGTGCCCAGCGGTTTCCCACAAATCCAGCACATGCTCCCGACATCCCAAACTGTATTTACACAATCAGTAATTTTCCCAAGTACATCCCTCTTACACTGATTGGTTAGTAATTTACATGAAATTATAATATTGCTTACTTATCATGCCCACCATGATGCAGGCCCTCAGAGGAAGGGTCTTCACCTGGCTGAGGGTATTTTTGACCTATGGGTGTGATTTTAGTATTATAATGAAGATGATTCACTTAAGGATACATGGACCTCGGGTATTCCTGCCAAGTTTGTAATGTGTAAAAAACATTCTGACAGTTCCAGGCTGTCCCTGGTTAAAGGACGCTAACTGTCTGTTCTACTGATCAGTTTCTTCCCTTCCCATTCTACCAAGACACAGGGGACATCTGCTCTACTTAGTTTTAAACAAGGTGAATCATCCTGCCACATAATTCATCCTAATCCTACAGCAATATGAGAGAGATATGTATGGTACAGAGAAGATTAAAGAGAACATTTACAACTTTTCACAAAAAAATCTGCAGAGAGAAGCAAATCAATGTTAGGTGACAAGTTTAAAATAAAGGAAGTATTTTTTTCTGTATAGCACAGGGAAGTGGGGAACTTCATTTCCACACAATACGGTAAAGGTCAAAAGCAGAAGTGAATTAACAACAAAAAAAAAGTAATGAAAGAAATGTCCAAGGTTCTTAAAATAAACAAATACAATTTCTGGGTGAGAAAACCCAAAAAGTGAAAACTGCTGGAAACTGGAGACTATTTAGTGATATTCTCTCTGCTACACTTTTGTTAGTCCTTTCCATTTCTTGAGATAAACAGACCTTCAGCATAGCCCAGTATGGCAATTCATTCCAAGACATGGCCCAGAAAGTACCAATTGCCTATATGAGAGCCAGCAACTTCTGCCTGCTGTTGATTTGCACACACATTCCAGCAGTTCAACAGTAGTACATCTGAATGCAATTGCAGGTGTTTTTTTCATGAGCTACCTTCTCACTTAGACCATAGATTAGTAACTATGCTCTGGGAGAGCACAAGAGAAGTGATATAAGCCACCTAAAATATCCAAGTGACTTTTCAACACAAGTTTCACAAAACACAACTGTTTCCCTTTTCCTTCTTGAGATTTAGAGTGGAAAGCCTTTATCTCAAATACTACATTTGCTGCCACGTTAGTTGCTTAATGCCACTTCAGCAAGCAACCCTAGATCCTTATTAAGACCCTACTCCATTAGCCCAACAGTCCTGTAATAGAGAAAACTTACTGGGACAGAAGCTTGGTCCCACTCTCCACAAGCCGTGTCAGCACTATAATCCCTTCCATGTTGATGAACTCTGTGGCAAAGGTGACATCTGCTGAAAGTTTAGCCAGTTCCTTCATGGCATCCAGTCGAGCTTCCATACTGTGCGACTGGACCCTCTCCATCAGCTGGCGAGCTGCCCTAGACTGGGAAGAAACAGGGATGTTCCCTGATACAAACTAGTCGTCCACAGACCGAGTTCTGCCAACCACTTCTGCCAAGCACTCTGGCAGCACTCTGCCAGGAGTGCTTGGATACAGATAGAGCCGACCAGCAGATAAGTCAAAAGTTATTTTACATATTAGGGTAAAAGATCATTCCATCTTCGTAAACTGGATGGAGGTAGATACAGAAAGCTAGAATGAGACCAGTAAAGAAACCAGATGTTAAAAAAAATCTCTTAGATTCAAAGAGATCAGCAACATCCTCTCCTGTCCATTCTGTGCTTCTTCCTGTTCTATTTACCCTCATTCCATGAGCTTCAACAAAATAAAGAGCCCTCCATTCCCAATTATGCACCATAACATCTGCCTAAAAATCTTTAAGAACTTCAAGGAAGGAAGCTGCAGCAAGTCTACAGAGGACAACTGGTTGAGGACACAATGGGAAGAATTCACTCCGCTGGATCAAATCCATCTATTATTTTTCTTTCTGCAGTAAGGCACCAATTCATACTAATTATGCTTAAAATGAGAATGTGTTTGTCAGGTGCTTTGTGACATGCTAACCTAGGAAATACAATAAAAACACAGACAGGATTTATTTATAGTAAGTCCTATGAAAGGGCAGAGTGTTGAAAAGATAAGATACACATGCCACAACCAGAAAGAAAAACAAGAGTGTTCATCTCACTGTGCAGGTTAGACCACAACAAAGGTGGGTGGTTTGGGGAAAGGGAAGGAGAAAGGCTGAAAGGCAACAAAGTGCCTATTGTAGCAAGGTAGCTACTGAGAGAGATGCGAGAAAGCATTTACCGGGGAAACTGCCAACTGAAGGATAGTTCCATTCTTGATGTCACAGCGAGTCTGAAAGAAAAACATAAACTTTAAGTTACAGTAAACTGGAAAAAAGGAATGCAACTCCATCTATAGCACACATTTGTACACCTGAGTAAAGGAGTTTCTATACCATACAAGCCTGCTGAGGGTATTGAATGAAGCCGCTGTGTTCATGCACTCATGGGCATACAAACAGAGAAGTGCAAGGACTCCTCAGTTGAATGACAGTTTTAAAAAGTCTGAAAATTTTTGATACGAAAGACAATGCCACTTATGGAGTAGGGACAGTATTACCCACAGCACTAAACCAGGGAATCCTCCACCCACCCAGAACATCGGCAAATTTCTTCACACTGACCTGCTCTGTGATGTACAGCTGAGGCCCATCAGCATACCGTAAGGTGTAGTATTCTGGATTTGGCAGTGACCACCTGGCAAAAGAAAAGGATACATGAGTTTTTCTCTTCTCTTTCTTGCGTTTCAGTAAGAAATAGAAGCTTGATCCTGGGAAGGTAGGAAGAACAAGCAAGGCCTCTGCAATGAAAACCACGGCTCCCAGTGAAGAGAAAGAAAAACTTCCTTTCAGGGAGGACTTCAGCCTCCTCTAAGTTAAGCTCTATGGAAACTCTGAAGAAGAATGTACTGCAGGAGCCTGAGGGCATACATACATGCATGTGCAAAAGAGGCATAATGGTGCCAAACTCCTGTTTTTTAGGAGATGATTTTGTTCCTCATTAAACCCCAGCACATTCCATAGCCAAAACTTGGACTAGGCAGCATGGATCACGCTAGAAGCACATTGAAAAGTAGCAGAGACTTTCCACAGCACCCCAGCAAAACTTGTCAGGGGGATAAGGCCTCCCAGAGAATTAGACTCACCCATCACAGACCTCCTTGATGATGGACGCAAGGGGCCTTTTCTAGAACAGAGAGAGAGAGTCCTCAGTACCACATTCCTCTCAACCAGAAAGAAATATTGTCCTTTTCTGCTCTCCCCACATTCTTCTATCAAGTTTGCAGGGCAGAGAAGAAACCAGTGCCTCTCCCGTTTGGTTACCGGATCTCACCTGATCTATTTCCAGCAGTTGGGCATTGGCTCCTGGCCACTCAACAGCTACTTTCACAATGTCTGAGGGTGGTGGCATTGCTCCGGACTACTCTAGGTGCTTTATGACAGCATGCACTCTCACACCTGTTAAGAGATAAGCAGAGAGCAGCTTTCTCTTAGTTGTTACATTGCACCTACCATCGGGCTTCAAACAGCTACACAAAACCAGTCTGATGGTTTGCTGGGCCTGCTAGACACAGGTTAAAAAAAATAATCATCAAGCATACTAGAGACTATGGTCTCATCAGCATGGCCAAAATAGCACATTGTGAAATTGTATGTCAACCTTACTTTCTAAGGAATACTTTTGGTAACTTGTACTCACACAAGAAGGAACATGACTACAACCAATAAAGCCCCATCTGCACCCACTGTCTATACTCCCAGGACAGCTTGGGGGATTGATAAAACAACAGCTTCCTAGGTTCACCTACTAACTTTGTGTGAGAAAAGAAATATACTGATCACATATTTCCCGCCACAAGTGATCCAAATATTTTTTGAATTATTTTCCCCCATGGGCTGATGATTATTGATGTCACAATCACACTTCTCAGATTAGTCAGACTAGCAGCAATTAGCTTTATCCCATTCCCTTTCCATAACATCATAAATACCCCCAAAAAGAATATCCATGATAACAGAAAAAACTACTTCAGGCTTGCTCTGGAAGAGCACCTTTTCACTGCTATGTCTGCCTTAGGGCACAACCTTGTGCCCAGGGATCGGTCCCACATGTTGTGAGACATGCTGCTCTGTGATTCATCTGTTAGTAAGAGGCTGCAATTTATTTGCTCATCTCTGTTTTAGTCCTCTCCTGGGAGGAAGAAATGGTCCTGCTCTCTCCCACTGAGCCATAACCAGTTGTCGTGTGGGAGATGATCCTCCCTGCCAGCAGTCCTCAGGTACAAAACCTTCAAGTTGTCAAAACTTAAATCTGACCAGCCACAAAAGAAGTTCTGTCCTTAGAGACTCTTTCTGAGGCTCAATAATAAGCATGCGAAGTACAATTCCCAATCTCCCATGGACCACACACTTCCCATTTCCCGGAATACACACCAGTTAGTGCAAGCAGGGACACTGTTTAGTGATTAATAGATTAGCCTGATTTCTTTGACCAGCTGAGAAAAGGATGTTGAGGCAGGCTAAGGCCTGAAGGAAAAGCTGCAACCTTTGGAGTCTTCCTGAAGCAAGACGAATGCCTGCTAAAAGGATGTACGGAAAGGAAAACTTCCCACAGATCAGCAAAGACCAAGCAGCTACAGAGACACCTGACCCACGATTGTGTTCTATATGATTCTCTTGGAAAAGGGCATTTTATGAAACCTGTTGAGTCTAACACATAAGTTGCATGTGTGTGACCAATGTAAGATGACTGTGAAGAGATGGACAGATGATCCAGAGTAACGGAGTTCATGCCTATCCCCTCTCCTCCCTAGGAGAGACTGGTATCACCATATGGATACATGCCAACCCAGCTGTGTTAACACTGCTCTGCTCTTGCATTGGCACACACACGTGTGTGCACACCCTTACCAAACCCTCATGACTTGACCGGTTGAGGCAGCTTCCTCACCCACGATTTTCAGACAAACTGCAGCTCTCCTTTTTCTGGCTCCAAGCCCGGGATGCTGTGGTCTCCTGTGCAGCCTTCGGCAATAGTCACATTACAGTTACTCCTATCTGCTGAAACTGAGGACATGGGAGGATAAGTGCAGTATTTCTACAACAGCCAGACCTGAGCCATACGACTATCCCTCCCCTTGAAAAGTAATGGAGTCCCTGCTAAGATCAGGGTGTGACAGTGTAAACTTGTCACTTGCTCAGGAAAAGTGTCATGCTGCAAAGTAGCTCTATTAATCACCTTGCATCTGGCAAACCAGATTCTTATTTCACCATGTTCCAACATACAACTTTCTCCTGCTCACAGAGATGGATACATTCAGTGCTCCTTATGGCCTCTTTCCTTTTTAGCATCAATCTGAGAGCTGCTCAAGTTTCCATAAACCCACAAAGTGACACACCTCCCATGGAAGAGTGACAGTCAAGATGAAGCACCCAAAACCCACTCAAGTTATGTTCAGCCATGTCAGGTTCTCACAGTAAAAACATCTTCAACCTTCCAGATAAGTAGCACAGTGCAATGTACCAGGTAAGAGCTGGTCTTGTGTACAAACAACAGTTTGCTGCAGCAAGAACAACAAACCCAGGAGAAACATTTCAGTCAGACCAAATGGGTCTGCAGAACAATGACAGAAAAGCATAGTTATAGTGATGCCTATTAAAAAGGATTTAAAAAAGAAAAAACAACAAAAGTAAGTTAAAATCTACCAGTTACACAAACAATTGAAGTTTTACCACCTTCACCTTTACAACAAACACAAACAGTTGTCCTTCAGAAAATCTGCACCAGGTAAGAATACTCCAGCTTGACCAAAATGAAGTCACACAAAAGAAAAGCTCAGATGAACTCAAATAGAAGAGAGTTTCAAAGAGCCCTGCGCAGTGACAGAACAGGGCTGACCAACAAAGAGAGAGCACCAAGTGCATGCTGTACTGTGGAGATGCTGTCTCTGTGCCAAGGAGCAGGTGTTAACTTATTCCCCCCCCTTTTTTTTTTTAACGTAAATTTTGATTAGCACTGTTCTAGCCTCTCACTCCAGGAGAAAAAAATAACCAAGCAATTTCTTCTTTGCTGGGACAGACTTGTTAATATAGAGCAAATATACTCACAAGTGGCCTCGAAACACACAGCTGCTGCTGCCATTTTCATACCCAGAACAATCAACAAATGGGCCTGTATTCCTTTCTTCTACACTCACCCTGAAGCAGCTGGCTGCTTCTGTCCAAACAAGTAAATTAGTCATTAAGACAATAAAGCATATGGAAGACAGAAGGGAGTCTTGCCCCATGATTTAGACAGAGGAAGTGCTTACAGATTTGCAGTACCTAGAAAGACAGGAATGGACTGAGACATATTTAGGAAACTGCCACCCTCTGTACTGCATTTATTACTGGGGTTAGTATTGACAGTAGGCTTTACCTAGACCAGTTATCCCCAGGCTGTTCATAAGACAATGCCCAATACCTGATATTGTGTGCATGCCACACTGCAAACGAGGAGTTCTCTCATCCTAAATACCTTACTTTCATTATTGTCCTAGTACACTGTAATAATGAGACAATGCAGATTCAAAAAGCCTGTTGAACCTATGAGCTCTATAGCCTCAACGCTTTATCTGATCCTTTTGCATAGGACAGAAAATAATCTAATTACATGATTAGTCAGTCTTCCTCCTCCTGAATTGCAGAAGGACAGACATTCACACAGCTGTTGCAGTAACAACCTGAAAGAGAGGTGACTTGTCAGCTAAGTCTTTACCCACACTACAGCGATTACTAGTTTACAAGTAGTACCACAGCTTTCTACGCATTCCCTAGACAAAATGCACAATGTGCACGAGAGGCACAAATCTACAGGATGTACAAGTTTGCATCCAGTAAGTTTAGAAACAAACGGGTACCAAAATGGTACATGATTTCCACTCAGGTCTCCCTTCGGTTCTCTCCCAAACTTGAAAGCCTGAGATATCACAGCCAAGTTGCATACGCAAACTACCTCCAATAAACCGACAGGTTCACAACAACTGAAGAAATACTGGCTGCTTCTATGAATTAACCCACTCATGACTAGAAACTACCTAAAACCAATCTGCAGTCAGGGCACAGCAAATACATAGCAAAAGAGGCAAGGCCCAGAGACCACCTCCTGGAATATCAAGATCTGAATTGATAAGTCTTTTACCTAATATAGCTAATTAGTATCTGACCAATTATCACTCCTTCCTTCAGTCTCTTCAAGTACAGTCACAGTTTATTTATATTGCAACTCATCCTACACATTGCTACAGAAGCCCTCCAGATTAGGGGTGTAAGTTAAAAGAAGTCTGGGCCAGGGTACAAGGAAAAGTAGTGCTTCACACGCCACAGCAAAAACACTCAGATTATAGGTAGAAACCTTTACAAATCTCTAACACCCCTTCTCCCTTGCAGAGAACATGCATGGCTTAGGGTCAGGAACCAAACATTAAACCAAAACATTAAGACTGTGGAAAATTCTACAGAACTATAAAGGTTCCTGTTTCATTAACAAGAAGTGTCACAGAAGTTGGCACACAGCTCCTAGAAACAATGTACTCTACCTGCAGCATCCTTGCCAAAGCAAGAAACAAGCAAGGTTTCACTATAATACTTTCACATCTCGATTAAAAAAGAAACAAAAACCGAAAATCTTTCAGTTGCATACAAGCTCAGAAAATAACTCAGCATGACACATTAGACTATATTTGCCTTGAACTTCTTCCACAAATGAACACCCCCTTACGGATAGAAACCATGTTCCCTAGCCCAGCCAGCAAACATACATGACAACAAATATGTAAGTGAAAGAAACGGAGCTTGAAGACCATTTCATTGAACAGCAGTACCACAGAACAGATATCATATGGTCCTACTGAGGAAGAGACTTGAACAGTGAAATGAACTAATTAACGTCAGAACCCAAAGAATTAGGAATTAAAAAAAAATGAAAGAGCTAGGAAACTCATCAGGCAGCTTGCGTCAAACCCCTTCAAGGCTCTACACATATCAGTTACTCAGCAGAAGCTTTCCAGAAGAACAGAACAGAAGCTGGACTAAAGACACAAAGGGTACTTTAGGGCAACCTCTTAATGAGGAATTGTCTGATGAAAATGTTAGTTGAAAAGATTTCACTATATGTCTGCAGATAGGAGAGGTAACAGATGTTAAAATTTAAATTGCATGGCATTTTGCAGTGCACCACAGCGTTATATCTGGTAAGACAACCTACATAGCTTCTGACCGTTTAGAAGCTCCTGGGATGCAGCACTGAGGCTGCAATTCTCTGCAATAATCACTATCAGTCACTTACTGGTCTCCCACAGCACATCCTTCTCAATAACAGCATGTAAGCAAATCCCAATTTTTCCACACAAAGAGAGTAGCCAAGCTGAAATCCATCAAAGATGAATTCACTCTGCTTCTGCAGAACGAGGTCCTTCACACAAAGCCGTGGTGTAGGGGTAGCTGCAATGCAAGAAATCAGCAGAGCAGCTCATAACACACCATTCAAAAGACTCCCCAGAAGCAGCAAGCTAAAACAACTAGAGTATTTTTGCCTATTCACCAACTCAGTCTTCTTTTCATTACAGACAAAGAGCAAAGCGTGCTGCACATGGAATGAAAATGAGGAGGATGAAAGCACATTCCAAAAAAAAAAAAAAAGCCAAGTAGAAATCCCCAATTGACCAGTGAATAGCTGCAGCTTCACAGATGCAGCAAAACCTTCTAGTCCATTCTCAGCAAGCACCCAGGTGGCAGTAGCAATAGGAAGGGCAATCCCCCCCACACAGGTTAAATGACAGCAGGACAGTGACCAACAAGACAAGCATGCAGAAAAGACACTTCCTCCACTGTGTGGAAGGAGGGGGCCCCAGGCATAAAAGTCCTACCCTAAGGCTAGAGGAGAGTTTTCACCTTGTCTCCTGAAGCTAACAAAGAAGAAACACACTTTACCTCCAAAATCAAAGAACAACCTGCTGCTTTCCAGAATATCTTGTTCTCCACCCCACCAAGGCTCCCTGTGGCTCTACCCAGCTGTAGAACACTAGAAATTGCATGACACTCAACCCCTCTCTCTCTTGCAAGTGCCAACACAGTTGGAAACAGACTCCATCCCAGCAAGGACAGGAAGAGTAACAGGCTAAAGGGAGTACTGTTTTTTTTTTTTTTTTAATTATTACTTTTAATCCTTCAGGAAAGCTGAAGAAAGTGTGCGACTTCAGTCCGCAACACCAGCAGCTGAGAACAAAACCTGCTCTGGGGCGCCGATACCAGCATTTCCTCACAATGCGCTGCCTGCTCCTGCCTCAGGCCCATCA